TTATACATATTGAAGATTAGGAGCATGCTAAATATGTCCATACATGGCATATCGGCCTCATGTCACTAAAAATGATCGAAAGGTTGAAATTATTTTATTCACATCTTTCCAAAAGCCGCGCGTTCTACGTTCAATCAATCACAAGTACCTAAAACTTCCGTAACATTCCAGATATGTTATCAAACTTAACAATTATATAAAAATAACATTCCAGCTCCCAAGAAAGAAAAACTTCCGCTGGAAATGTTTACCTTCCAGTAATCAAACAAGCCCTAAATGTAATATTAGAAACCTGCCACCCTAACGATCTATAGAACTAATAATATATGTTTATATAACATTTATACACATAAATTTGAAATGCAGTAATACTTGGCTTCATTTGTGTTTACTATGAGCTTATTCATGGCTTGACTTGGTTTCTTCATAGGCCAATCTAAGCCATGGAAATGTCAACCTTAACTCCCCCGAATCAAACCAAGCTTAATTTGGGTGATTTAAGCTTGGGTTAAACTCTGACTCATCCCTTGACCATACAACCTGAGATTCAACATATACAAGTTTGGCTCAGTTGGTTAACACCACAACCTTTAAATTGCACTACTTTTATCATCACGCATACCATAGAAAATATTTTGGCATGGAACGTGACATGGTGTAATCTTTTTTTTTTTTCTTTTTAATTTTGATATATATGTGGTATGAATTTTGGGCAAGAAATGATTGCATCATGCATAATACATCTATACAATGAACCACATATTTTTAGACCATCCAATGTCTTTTTCGTTTTTTTGGGAAATATTAGACCTTTTAATATCTTGTTATGTGATGTGGCCTCACATTGTGTTTTTATCTCTCCATTGCTTATTTCATGGGCATAGAATGGGCATAGAAGTGAAACCATCATCTGGTTTTCTCAACAAGGAAATTAAGAGAAATCATATCAAAAGCTCATGAAATTGATGGTTTCACAAGTGGTCACTCGTCATAAATTTTGATAACCGATGCCTATCCCATAATGAATCTCCACAAAAAGGATGCCAATTAAAATAACCCCATGGTAAAAAAAAAGAAGGGAAAATAAGGGGGGAGCATTGATGAATTTGCAGTCATGAAAAAGAGCAAAAAAGCTGTCAAATTTATTCCAAAGATTAATCACATGGCAGCACTCATTAATCATGTAAAGGACATGCAAAGACCTTTTCCCCCTTATAAATACCCTCTTTCTCACCCTAATGTACCAACAACCCATGCAAAAGGAGAAGCATGGCTTCTTCTTCGCCTTATTTCTCCCTCTCCTTCTTGGGCCTTATCTTAGCTTTGGCATCTACTCATTTAGAGTTCACAAATGCAAACTTTTTACCTATCCATTGCTCCAGTATTGGTGGGCTCAATGTCAAGTGTTCCCCTCCACCTCCACCAAAACCAGACCCACCAAAGAAAGCTCCACCACCTCCACCTTATCTTCCCCCTACCCCACCACCTAAGGCTCCTCCTCCAGTTGCGCCTCCGCCTAAATTTACGCCCCCACCTAAAGCTCCTCCTCCAGTCGCGCCTCCGCCTAAAATTACGCCCCCACCTAAGGCTCCTCCACCTTATGCACCACCCCCTAAATCCACACCTCCACCTAAGGCTCCTCCACCTTATGCTCCACCCCCTAAATCCACACCTCCACCTAAGGCTCCTCCACCTTATGCACCACCCCCTAAATCCACACCACCACCAAAAGCCCCACCACCTTTTGCTCCTCCTCCTAAATTTACACCACCACCTAAGGCTCCACCACCTTTTGCACCTCCACCTAAATTTACACCACCACCAAAGGCTCCTCCACCTTTTGCACCACCCCCCAAATTCACACCTCCACCTAAGGGCCCACCACCTTTCTCCCCCCCCCCTAAATGTTCTGTACCACCAAAGGCTCCACCACCAAAATTCGCCCCACCACCTAAGGCTCCTCCTCCTAAGCCAAGAACTCCACCATCCCGAGTTGGTGATTCAAGGAAAGTTGCGCACAATGGAGAGTGATTTAGAAGCTCAAACAGTGAATAAGTTCTACAGGGGATCATAGCCAGGGTGTGGGGCTTCCTCCATGTACTATTTTCTATTTTGCTTTCAGTTTAGTACTTTAAGTCGGCCTTCCCTTTTTATGTTTGTATTTCGTATTTAATAAATATGTGCTTGTTTTAAGGAAATATGTGTTTGTTTTAAGGAAAGTACGAAAAACTATGGGGTGGTACCCTCTTTACATCTTATGCATACTCACGTGCCAACTAAATTGAGTGAGGACGTGTAACCTAAAACGCAAATGTCTTATAGCTAAGGGAAATTTACATAAAAGACTCATCTTTCAAAATTTAAAAATCGATCCATATATGTTATATTTTGTACTCAAGTTTCAAGTCTCACTTTTAAGAGTGTATACTATATTTAAATTTTATTTTATTTACACATCAGACTACGCTCAAATTTAAGGCACCCATATATCACTCTATCACGCACTTGTAAAAAGTAAAAAAATAATTCAATAACAAAACCTACTAGTACTCCTAAAAATTATGGATATTTTGATAATTTATTTCTTTTCTTTAGAAGTGTATGATGGTGAGAATTATGCACAATCAGAATTTGATCTTACTTAGATGGATAGAAAAATAAAAATTAAAAATAACATTGTTACAAAGTGAGACTACAAAGTGGTATATGAAATATTCGAGAACATTTCTAAACTTTGAAAACAAAATTAGATTTTTCTATAAATTTCCGTTTGACTTTTATCGTGGTAATGCATCATGGGAGTCAATATCACTATTACAAGTAAGGACTTTTAGTACACTTAATAAATATTTATTAGGGAAAAAGGTAAATAAGGCCTAGGCTTTATGAAAGCAAAATAAAGCCTCATCTTTGTCCCAAAAGTACTTTCAAAGACGAAAATCTCTATGATGGCTCTAAAATCAATTTTCAACACCGACAATAAGATTTAAATCTCAAAAGATGGTACAGATCTTGTGGATAAACACTTATTTTTAAAGCAAAATAAATGGTTTAGATAATTTTTTATAATATACACTATATTTAGAGCTTGAAATCCTAATTTGTTTTTACAACTACAATGTTCAAGTCGAGATGATCGATGTAAAGGTTTTTCAATGTTTGATTTACAATTTTTGATGATTTATGAAGTGAGGATTTACTTATTTTGATATAGCTGCAACCTTATCAAACCATTTTCCGCTGCATAGTACGCATGTCTATCATGAGAAATTTGGCAAGAGTTCATGAGAACATAAAACCTTGTCAGTGTCGGAGCAATCCTTTTTAGTGGGATTGAAGCAAACCTTACCTCTACAGGTTGATATGTTACATGAGCCTTTTCCACAACAAAATTGCCACCTTACCTCTACAGTATAAGGTTGACATCTTATATGAACTTTTTCCTCAACAAAACTGCCCCATGTACCTATTCAATGAGTTCCATGTACTCATACACCACGATTAGTATTTAGAAAGTAAAAAAGTGCATATACTAGGATGTATATCTGTTCTAGGTATAATAAACCACGCTTAATGATATGGACACGTGTATGGTGTCAAAAAGCCGCGCCCCAAAAATTAAAATATCTACACATTTAAATATGCTTCATAAATTGGTACCCAAAAATATAAAGTAGAGCTTGTATCTAGACCTAACCCGCCAAGTCCAATTCTTGGACCCATAACCGTACCCTGGTCTACCCTTCGTGTCCCGGGTTAGGTCCAGGTCCATTGCCACCCCTTGGAGGATTAGCTAGAGAGCAGTTTGAGTTACTCTAGCTTTGAATCACTTGGCTTGAGATTGATTTGGCTTAAATGGTCTATTAAGTTAATAAAAGAGCGAAATCAAGCGATAACCAAGCCCAAATCCAGTCATAACAAGAGAAGCACAATCATATACATGTACAATTGTATTAATATATTTTGTTAATTATATAGTAAAATGTTAATTCAAGTGCATATATAAAATTATAATCATGTTAATAATTATGTAACAATACATTAAACAAGCTACTGTTAAGTTCTAGCTAAGCGTGTCTCAGCTAGGGCTTGGCTTGTTTAATAAGCAGCTAGGGAGCTCTTCACTAGAGTAGAGCTCTATGTAGAGAGAGAGAGAGAGAGAGAGAGAGCTGGGCACTTCTAGGCTAACTTAAACGTTAATCAAAATTAAAATTTATCTTTTCCTATTTACTCTTTCTCTAATCTAAATCTAATTGGAAATCCCCCTTTGAGAAATATCTTATCATTATTATTTTATAACATATACATTTTTGGGTGCGCATATGTATAAAGAGATTGGTCTGGTACGGGTGAAGACCTTATATTTTTTTTTAACCTGTAGCGAGCATGAGTAAAGGAGGTGGGTTGTGTTTAGTGTATAGTCAACATAAAACTTTGCCACATATTATCATGAATCCTAAAGAATAACATGATTCATGTAGCTGACCCCAAATACTCAGAATAAGACTTGAATGATGATGATCATGACATATGTATGAAGAGATATTTTCTCATGTTTTGGGGATTATAGCCTCCATCAAAAATCATATTTTCCTAATCCCTAAAGTTTAAGGATTTTGATTTGTAATTTTTTTATTCTCATTGGTTATATCAGATTTTTGAAACATCATAGTAGAAAATGATGAGGTTTCAATAAAGCCTAGGCTTTATGAAACAAAATAAAGCGTCACCTTAAATCCTTATTAGGAAAGCCCTTTCAACAATATAATCTCCATGATGGCGTTAAAATAAATTTTCAACACTGACAATAAAAATCAAAACTAAAAAATAGTACAATTCTTGTGGATCTATGAATACTTACTTTTATAGCAAAATGAACGGTCTAGATAATTTGTTACAATATACATATTTTTAGAGTTTGAAATCCTACTTTTTTTCACAACCATAATGTTCAAGCCGAGATGATCGATGTAAAGGTTTTCTAATGCTTGAATTACAATTTCTGATGAGTTATGAGGTGAGGCTTTACTTATTTTGATAGGGCTGCAATCCTAGCAATCCATTTTTCAATAGAAAAACGTGAATTGCGCACTCCTCTTGCCAATAAATTATTGAGTTGTGAGTTATTTACGTACAAACCCTATATAAGTACGTAAAATATGGTTTGCTCATCTTATAAGAGGATATTACAGCTAAGGTCGATTTTACTCGACTTTTTTTTAGACGAAATTACCCTTTGATCTAAGGTCAAACCGACCTTAGTTGTAATATTCGCTTGAAAGAGGAAAAAACATGTTTTCAGTACTTATACAGGGTTCGAACATAAATAACTCTTGATTTATGGTACAATGATTAGTTGTTGACAATTGCAACACTACATCTCAAGTTCAACTCTTTTTACTGAACTTGTGAAAAAAAAAAACAAAAAACTGATCCAAACCAAATGGTGCCATAATCGTGCAATAGAAGAAAAAAGAAAATGCTAAAAGAATGCAAGCTGTTAACTCCAAGGCATCCTTTTGGACCAACAACCAAGTCTATAAAAGCAACATAGTTATTTGTTTATGAAAGTAAAACAAGCTTATTTCCTGGTGGGTTGGGTCCTAGTCCGACCGACACCCTTATTCCGTCATTCGGGAAAGGGGCAGTGTAGTGGTAAGAGCACCCCCACATCTTAGTCATCACATTGTGATTTTTATTCCCACTAATACTACTCTACTAACACCTTAAAAAAATTAACTTTTAAATTATTTGAAAAAACAGATCTTATTTGTCCACTTCACGTTTGACCCGACATGAATCCCACCCGTTCTAGGAAAATGACCGCACATGATACATAAGCCCCCTAAAAAGTGAAAAGTTCAAACAAGAAGTCAAAATATGCATTTTATGATAATTTTGCCTCTTGTAAGAACACTAATTGCCTTGTTCTATAATTGATTGTTAAAACAGCATTTTCCCCTAAAAAGTGAAAAGTACAAACATGTACTATGTCAAGTCAAAGTATGCATTTTATGATGATTTTACCCCTTGCAGGAACACTAAGTGCCTTGTTCAAGAATTGATTGTTAAAACAGCATATTAAAGCATTGTAAATGTGCTATGACAAGTCAAAGTATGCATTTTGTGATGATTTTACTCCTTGCAGGAACACCAATTGTCTTGTTCAAGAATTGATTGTTAAAACGGCATATTAAAGCATTGTACTCAAAGCCTTTTAAATATTGGTGTCCCACTTGCAACAATATTGAATTGATGGCTTACAAATTTGATTCTTAAAAACAAATCTTATTTAAAGGACTTTGTCGTCAAACTTTTGGAAACTTTTGAGTCTTTTATATTTGGGAAAAGTTTATATAGCGCTTAGGCTTTAAACAATCAAATTAGAGCCTACCTCCAAAATTTCACTCAAAGAATTGTTTTGATGCCCTTATATCTTCAGATTGATCATCTCGACATCAAGATCCATGGATTTGAGAAAAAAATGGATTTCAAGTTTTGAAAATAGTACATCTTGTAACTCATTTTTGGACCGTCAATTTTTAAGTTATTTAGGTTTTCATAGATCTGTTTGATCTATACTATTTATGAAGCTTTAAATTTTGTAATTAAAGATGAAAATATATTTTAAAGCTAGTAAAAAATTTCGAGTATTGGAACCACATTTCTCAATACTATTTGAAGGTGGGCTCTCATTTGATTGTTTAGACCCTCGGCCCTATACAAACCTCGCCCTTTATATCTTGCCGTTTTTCCCGCAGGTATTTGGTGTTTGAAAGAAAGGAAAAAGTTTATAACAAGGTTGCAATCTTAAAATGTAGAATTGAAGATGAATCTTAAAATGGCATTGTATAAGGTTATTTTAATATTGAAGAACCCTCTAATTGATCATCTCGAAATCGAGATGTATGAATATATAAAAAAAAAATATTTTAAGTCCTAGAAATAATGCATCTTGCATCACATTATCTAGACCATCCATTTTCAAGATTTTCATTTGTTTATAGATCTACTTGACATCAACCATTTTTTGGAGTCTAAAATTTTATAATTAGATATAAAAATAGATTTTCAGATAATCCTAAGAATTTTTTACACCAAAATTATATATTATGATAAAATTTAGAGGTGTGCCTTGATTGGATTGTTTAATGCTGCAACCCTGCAGAAACCACACCCTTGAAAGAATATACAAAAAATTAGGATACACAATAAAATGGAATTTTACGATGTTAAATATATGTTTAAAATATTTAATATTACTCATTTCCTACTAGCTGTAAAGCCGTCGTAGAAAATGCAATTTACTTGTTTAGGTAAGCATTTGAGAGTTTGAGCTTTTGAAGCAGTTTGTGTTTTCTACTCTAATATTTTAGGCATTAATGCATCGTCATCACTTATTTTTTGGTAAAGTAAAAACCCATTATTTTGATCTTATAACTTAAAATTTTGTTTAAGATAGTGTTTAGGTGTATCTGGGGGTGCAACTATTATAGTGAATCCCTCTTTTAAACTTTTACACGTCTATCATCCTAACCGCAACGATTATGAATCTTAAATAAAAACAGAATTATGAGCCTTAAAATGGCCCATCTTGTATGCTTTAATGCGTATTATTCTTTTTAATTCTTCAGAGAACAACATGTCTTCTTTGTATGTGGAGCTCTAGATTCAAAGGTTTGAGGCAGAGATGGATTACAATAATTAGGTGCGTGTTACAGTCCTAAAACCCTTGAAAATCAGAGCAACCCTTGAAAATTACGGCGGATGCATTTGTCATATGACTCACCAAATTTTTTCCTTTTTATTTGCATAATATGACGAATTTATGGAAAAAATATATATAAGGATAAGGCCCTAAACTATCAAATTAAGGAGCACATAAAAAATTCACTAGAAGAGGTTGTGTCGATTCCTAAAAATCCTCAAATCGATCATCTCGACCTCAAGATACACAGACATGAGAAAAATGGATTACAAGTCTTGAAAATAACACATCTTGTAATGCATTTTCTTGACCGTCAATTTTCAATATTTTCAACTGGTAAGAGATCTGCTCGTTCTCCACTAATTTTGAAGCTTTAAATTTAATAATTAGATATAAAAATGAGTTTTAAAAACATCACCAAGATATCCAATACCGAAACGACATCTTTGACACTATTTGAAAGTGCGCCTTACTTTGGTTGTTTATGGCCTCAGCCTTATACAAACCACACCCCAGATTTAATGCCCATACATTTTATCGATAAATATACATAGCCATAAGTGAAAAAAAGAAGAAGAAGAAGGTTTTATCAATGAATTATACATAAAAAGGGATGGGTTTCCCTATGTAACCCACCAGTGAAAAAGGAAAATGAAATTCTCACTATCGATATTGATGATTGGGCAGTAATAATTAATAAAAGAGACAAAAAGCTGTCCAATTTACTTCCAAGATTAATAATGTGTCAGCCAACCATTAACCATGTAAAGGACATTCAAAGACCTTTCCCCCCTATATATATACTTGCATTCTCATCTTGATGCACCAACCCACGCAATGTAAGAGCATGGCTTTCCCTTTCCCCTAAATCTCTCTTCCTTTCCTAGGGCTTCTCTTTGCTTTACCCTCAAGCCTCCTCTCCCACCAATTCAAAAGCCACCTTGAACTCTCATTGATAAGCTTACAAAAAAATGCTCATCTCCACCTATTTGTAATGTCATTGATAAGCTAACAGGCAAGTGTGCACCACCACCACCACCACCTCCTCCTCCTCCAAAAGTAGAACCACCAAAGGAAGCTCCACCGCCACCTCCACCACCACCACCACCACCAATTGTGAGACCACCCGAAAAGGCTCCACTGCCACCTCCTCCTTTTTCTCCCCCACTTAAGGCTCCTCCACCCAAATTTACACCGCCACCTTTTGCTCCTCCTCCCAAACTTAGACCACCACCAAAGTATCCACCACCTTTTGCTCCCCCCCCTAAATTTACACCACCACCAAAGGCTCCTCTACCTTTTGCTCCTCCCCCCAAATTTACACCACCACCTAAGGCCTCGCCAAGTTTTGCACCCCAACCAAAATTTATGCCGCCTCCTACGGATCCTCCACCTTCCGCTCCACCACCTAGGGCTCCTCCTCCTTTTACACCTCCAAAGGCTCCCCCACCAAATTCACCACGACCACCGTGCTCGAAGTGCAAGTCGCCACCACCACCCATGAGGTGTCGTGGACGATGTGTACCCCCTACTGTGATTGACTGATGAGGCTCAAACTTTGCATAAGGCTTGGTTATGGATGCTTGAAATTTACCAATTTCTTCTTCTACATACTATTTAGCTCAGGCGCGATAATCTAGTTTAGATTTTCTGTCGTTTGGTGTCTTAATTTTCAGATGTTTCATGAATGAGACATTTGAAAAAGGCTTAAAAAAGTTGGTGTCTATTTATTCTTGTATATGACGAGGTCACATGATAACTAGAATGAAGATGGTCATCCTTTATCTTCTAGCTTGAACTGGTCAATGAACTAGGTCAGAATCAAACATGCTACTACTACTTTGAGAATAAAAAATACTTCTATTTAACAAAAAAATAAAAATAAATATAGTAAAAGTTTTTTGGGTTGAAAAGGGAAATAATTTAGAATTGCCCACAGCATAATCAAATGTAGGAAAAGGTTACCACAGGCAGTAGCTTTTTCAAAGCCATAGCCTAAATCTCACCGAAAAAGGTTATTTTAGGGTTAAAAACCTTCAAATTGATCATCTCTACGTCGATAATTATAGATTAGAAAATAGATGAGTTTCAAGCCGCTTAAAAATAATGTATCTTGAGGTACACCGATACTTTTATCGGAAAGCCGCAGCCTTATGCCATCCGCATCCAATGCTCAATCATATGTATAGTACACAGTCATACGATGAGGCATGTGGGGCAGTAGATAAAAAAGACTATAATTATGTCATTAATTCAATAAATTTAATTGGCACAACAACAATTTGAAGTTGAAATATAGGCTTCAAGGATTGGGAGTTAACAATTTCAACATAAGACCCAAAAAAAAGAACAAAAAATAGAATTGAAAAAGAAACACAATGCAACAATAAAAAACAAAGGAAAAAGATGGTATACAAATGTTAACAAAAAGCTCCCTTCCCCATTCAATCTCGAACATCCACCCAACAAATGGATGTTGGATTAAAAAATTTGAGAGAGAGGAACTCTTTGAGAAAATAATCGATTCCAATCTCAACTTCCATGGTAGTTGTTCCTCTATTGAAGGTATATCTCTCTCCCTAAACATAAACTCTCCCTTCTATTCGATATCCCCCCCTTGTTTTTTCACTTCATAATTCTCAACCTTATTACAAACCCTCTAAAGACATCATCTTGCAAACTTTATTTGCAAACTTGCAAACTCTTTCTATTCTCTCTCGGCACTTCTTTGCAAACTTTGTAAATTTGTTTCACTGATATCCAACTCTCCCTAACGTCCAACTCTCTCCCTCCATTGCTTTTTCTTTAAGATATCATCCTCCCTCCATCAAGACAATATTATATTTTATCTCTAATAACTATTTCATCAAATCCTCTATTTTATATACCCAATTTCTTCAAAAACAAAAAAAAGAACATCTAAATCCACGCCCTCTCATCAAATATCTGTTTGTTCCAATGGACGCTTCATCCTCATCAATCAAGTATCCCTATTCCTCCATTCTCAATAAAAAATATTTTGTGTCTATGAAATTGAAAGAAAACAACTACTTGTTATGGGAAACCCAAATTGTGTCTTTGATTGAGAGTCATGAACTTTTTAGATTCATTAATGGTGATTGTTCTACACCAAGTCAAAAGATTTACTCTAATGATGGTAAGAGTGAAATCGAAAACCAAGACTACAAATTATGGCTAAAGTCCGACTGGCTCTTAAAGCTTGGATCACAACAATATTATCAGAAGAGCGTCTTAGCCTTGTTGTTGGCCTCAAGACTTCTGCATATGTTTGGAAATGAATTACGAATGCCTATGCAGGTAATTCTCAAGCTAGGGAGTTCCAACTTACCCAACAACTCCTACTCTGCAAGAAAGAGAATTCAACCTTATCAGAATATCTATGCAAATTTAAGAGTACTTGTTGATGATTTAGTAGCCCTTGGAATCTCTACCAGATGAAAATAAAGTATTTTGGCTTCTTAATCGACTTGGTCTAAAATATGAGATTTTTGCTACCATTACGCATAAACCTCTCATTCCTTCATATTATGAAACTATACCTATTCTTCAAAGCCATGAGATTAGAAATGCGCCCCATATCCTTGAAGAACACTTAGATCCAAATCGAAATATAGCTTTCGTTGGACAATAAAAATATCTTGTGCCCAACAAAAGCAACCAGAATTACAGAAGTAGAGGGAGAAACAATTTTGGTGGTCAACAGTTCTTCAACTCTAGAGGACATGCGTTTGTTCAAATTAGCTAGATTAGTAATGTGGGTCGTCGGGTGGCAAAAAAAAATCAAGAAAGTGGTGTTGCACTTCCTATGCGACACATAGATCAAAGCTTCCAACAAGATGATTAGATACAACAATCATCACAAACACCTTGAGAAAAGTGTCAAGTTCGTAGGAAATTGGATATAGTGCATTGAAGTGTTTGCATCGATTCAACCAAACCTACCAAACAGAATATACTCCTCAGGTCCTTGTTTCAATGACTATAATTGATTCACAAGACTCAGAATGATTCCCCGACACAAGTGCCTCCACACATATGATAGGAGATTTAAGTACGTTGCAAAATCTTCGTCCCTATAGTGGTACAAATATGGTTAGGGTTGGGAATGGTAAACAATTAACTAATTCACATGTTGGTGATACAAATATTGATATTGGGTCTGAAAAATTCAATGTTTTTAATGTTCTTTTGGTACCTGAAATAAAAAATAACATGTTATCTGTTAGTCAATTTATAACATATTTTCTTTATATTTTTGAGTTCTTGTCAAATAGTTTTATGATTAAGGAAATGAGCACATTGAGAACTCTGGCCAGTAAGAGTAGAAAGAGAGGATTGTATGCACCTGAAGAAATGAAACAAGGTTTATTATCTAATCATAATAGAAGAACATCATAAAATGTGTGGCATTAACACCTTGGACATCATCAAAATAACGTTGTTCATTATTTAGAATCTAAACAGTTGATTAATGTTGATGCATGAAATAAATCTCATTCTGCCTGTGCTAGTTATCAAATGGGAAAAATTTGTAAGCTTCTTTTTAGTGGTGCTAGTAAAACCTCTACTGAACTTCTCTTTAAGATTCATTCAGATTTATGAGGCCATGCTCCAAATTTATCTAAGCAGAGTTATTGATTTTTCGTGGTGTTTATTGATGATTATACTCGTTTTACTTAGATTTATCATTTGAAATGAAAATCTGAATTTTTCGCTGCATTTATGAAATTTCATCGTATGGTTGAAAGGAGATTTGATAAAAGAATTCAAGTTTTTCAATGTGATGGAGGTGGGAAATTTGTTAAGAAAGAATTTATTGATCACCTTAATGACAATGGAATCATGCAACAATTATTATGTCCGAGAACCCTTGTGCAAAATAGAATAGCTATAAGGAAACATAGAAATATTTTCGAATTAGGTCTTAGAAAGATGTTTCATGCAGAAATTCTTAAATGTTTTTGGGTTAAAGCCTTTCATGTTGCAGTATTTGTTATCAATAGAATTCTCTATACCAATTTAAAAATAGAGTCACCATACTCACTATTGTTTGGATGTTTACCAGTCTACTCATCACTTCGAGTTTTTAGTTGTCGGTGTTTTCCATATCTTCGAGATATGCTGCAAACAAATTTAATCCTCGTTTTCTTCCTTGTAAATTCTTTGGCTATAGCATTCAGCATAAGGGCTACAAATGTCTACATCCACCCACAAGACGAGTTTATATCTCTAAACGTGTTGTATTTGATGAAAATATTTATCCTTATGCTAACCCCAGTTCCTTGTTTAATAGTGCTCAGGTTCATGATGAGCTATCCACTTATGCAGAATGGTCAGTGTTATGAGTCTGACATACAAACTCCTTCCTCTTCTGATTAATCAACTCCACATAGACCACCCATACAGGACATCCTGGATGTATCAGGTCCCTTGGGACTTGCTTTTTCCCATCAACAACAATAACTCTCCAACTTCACCTATAGCAGAAGATGTCACCTCTACAATAGTAGTACAAGATGTGCAAGATGATATAACACCCAATCATAGTGTGAAAAATATTGCCACGCAAAAAACCAACCAATGTAATTTTTTACCAGCCCCTAAGTATCATCGTCATCACATGGTAACAAAAACTCAAGATGGTACTTGAAGACCTCAGGTTCTTCCATTCATGACAACAATCTCAAGTGCTTCTACTTTTGAAGCTCTCTTCTAAACCTAAGTCCACTAAGTATGTCTTTGGTCATCTAGGTTGGTATTATGTGATGGAAGAAGAAATTGAAGCCCTGCATATCAGTTCAACTTGGGAGTTAGTTCTATGCCTTCTAGGTATGAATGTTGTTGGTTGTCGTTGAGTCTATAAAGCTAAATTAAAGTCTAATGGCAACCTTGAGAGACTTAAGGTCAAACTAGTTTCTAAATGATATAATCAAGTTGCTGGAATTGATTTCTCTGAAACATTTAGTCATGTTATTAAACCTGCTAGTATTCGGATTGTGCTCACCATAGCTATTGTGCGATACTGGCCTATTAGACAACTTGATGTGAAAAATTCTTTCTTGCGACACTGCCCTATTAGACAACTTGATGTGAAAAATTATTTCCTGCGTGGCTTTCTTAAAGAACCTGTATTTATAGAGTAACCTCCTAGATTTGTGATATCAAAATATCCAACTCATGTTTGCAAATTAAAAACAGCTTTATATGGTCTCAAGCAAGCATCTCAAGCTGGTTTGATCGATTTAGTGTATATTAATTATCATTGGGGTTTTATTGCAGCATCGCTCATTCATTTCTATTTGTTTCTCGCACTACTCAATGCACTGTTATCCTTCTCCTTTATGTTGATGATATCATTGTTACTAGTAACAATTCAGAGATTCTAGAATGGTTCATTTCCCAACTTAAAAGGGAATTTGCGATGAAATATCATGAACCTCTTCACTACTCTCTTGATATTGAGGCATCTCATTTTTTAGGTCGGATTTTTCTCTCTTAAAGCAAATATGCAAGGGATATTCTTGATCTTGCTATGATGCTCTAATACCATAAAGAATTTTAGAGAGAGAATAACTCTTTGAGAAAATAATCATGCTCATATTGTTTGTGGTGGTTCTTTCATTGTGTATATAATGGTAATACAATAATGTAGTATGCACTTTCCTATATTGTTAAATGCAATATATACTTTCATATCTTCTATAATGGCAATATGCACTTTCTTATCTTCTACCTTAACAATATGTA